AGACACCCCAATGAATAGATACACCAAACTTGATTTAAGGAGACGCTATTAATGGCTGTTTGTGCTATTTCCAATCTTTTGCTGTCAGCAACATTAGCTTGTATCTTGCTGTGGTGCTGCAGGATAATGCGCTGGACCACAAGGTCGCCGGTTCAAACTCAATAGCCACTCCTCAGAAACCCTATACAGGGTCGCTATGAGTCAGAACCAACTCCACAGCGCTTCACAAACTGCCAAGCTCTGCTTTATATGTGGTTCTCATGAACTTTTTTGTTTAATCCACAATGCTACGAAGAAAACCTTGTGTCTACATGCCTTTTTTACATACATGTTTCAACATCTCCATACTGTTGGGCACATTCCTAGAGACAGAATCTCTGGATCAGAAAGTATATGCATTTATTTTGGGAAAGTGTATTTATTGGCAGTGCCAATTTACACCCCCACCAACCACATACGAACTTGTCTAATTGCTCCTGCTATGTGCTATTAAACTTTTGGACTTTTGCTTTTGCTAACCTGACAGGTAAAACATTATATTTAATTGTGTCTATCGTCACCACTGGACCAACAATAAACAACATTCTTGTCAACGGAGAAAAGATTGAAGTTGTCAAGGACTTCATTCTTTTTGGATCAACTATCAACACTCATGGAAGCAGCAGTCAAGAAATCAGACACAAGACTTTTTTAAAGTGTTGAAGAGCAAAGATGTCAACTTGAGGACTAAGGGGTGCCTTACCCAAGCCATGGTATTTTCAATAACCTCATATGCATGCATGCGGAAGCTGGACGGTGAATAAGGAAGACCGTAGAAGAACTGATGCTTTTGAGTTATGGTGTTGGAGGAGAATATTGAAATATTGAAAGAACCAATACATCTGTGTTGGAAGAAGTGCAGCCAGGATGGCCAAACTTTGTCTCTCACACTTTGGACACATTGTTAGGAGGGACCAGTGGCTAGAGAACGAGATCCTGTTTGGTAAGGTGGAGGGTCAGAGAAAAAGAGGAAGACCCCCAACAAGATGGATTGGCAAAGTGGCAGCATCAGTGGGCTCAAGCGTGGCAACAGTAGTGACGTTGGCCCAGGATTGGGCAGTGTTTCATTCTGTTGTACATAGGGTCTCTGTGAGTTGGTAACGACTCGATGACACCTAACAACAACATAGTTTGAATTTATCTTAAGTGTTGAAGAGCAAAGATGTCAGTATGAATTACAAATATTTTGGTTTTGCTTATAAAGTTTCTACCACACAGAATTTTTAAAAACAATTTATGTATCTATCACTATTTTTTGGTTTCTAGTCTTATATGTCATTGTTAGAAAACCCTGAAACTCTGAGATCATAAAAAAAAATTATTTTTTCTGTTTAAAGTTTTGATCCATTAGGAATTTATCTTAGTATAAGGCATGAGTGGAAAATTCTGCTTTATTTTTTTTCCTACATAGGCAGTTATACCAACATTCAATGAATAATCCATATATTAATCAGAGATGCTGCTTTTATCATAAACTAAATTCTCATCTTAACAGTTTTATAATGAGATGTTGTTGTTGTTGTTGTTGTTGTTAAGTGCCGTGGAGCTCATGTGCTCTGTTTCAGGCTGAGGCCTTTCTAACTTTTATCAAATAGGTCTGTAGCTATGTAGTGCCGTCAAGTCAGTTCCGTGTCATAGCGACCCTGTGGTTCACAGTCCTGTGATGATCTCTTGGATGCAATCTTGCAGGCAAATTTCTATTATTTTTGGAACAGCGACCCTGTACAGGGTTTCCGAGGGTGTAAATCTTTATGGGAGCAGAAAGCCTCATCTTTCTCCCGCGGAGCTGCTGGTAGTTTCGAACTGCTGAACTTGCGGTTTGCAGCCCGATTCGTAACCACTACGCTACCAGTGATTATTAGTGATGTCTAATTTGAATGTCCTATTAATGTTAGTCCTGGTGTGGCACAGTGTGTTAATGCGCTGGACTGCAAGGTCGATTTGAACCGCAAGGTTGGTGGTTCAAGGTCACTAGCTGCTCCTTGGAAACCCTGTGTAGGGTCACTGTGGGTCAGAACTGACTCAACAGCACTTAACAACAACAACATCAATGTTAACCGAGCTTCCTAAGAAAGTTATTATAGAGCTTATTTGTTTCTAAAACAAAAACATAAAATAAGGAACCAAACAAGAGCCAAATAGAGTTGTATGACTCTTAGCAAAAGGAAGAGATTCAGAAGAGCGTTGTTGTTGTTAAGTGCTAGGGCGTCGGTTCTGACACAGAGTCACCCTGTATAGGAGGATTTCTGAAGGAGCCCTGATAGCATAGTGAATTATGACCTGGGCTGCTAACCACAGAGTCAGCAGTTCGAATGTACTCGTCGCTCCATGGGAAAAAGATGAGGCTTTCTGCTTCTACAAAGATTTACAACCTTGGAAACCCTATAAAGAGTCACTGTGAGTCAGAATTGACTTATTGGTACACACCCACCACCACAATAGTGTTTTAAGGTTGTAAATTTTTGTGGGTGCAGAAAGCTTCATCTTTGGGTGGGCTCAAACCATTGGCTTTGTGGTTCACAGTCCAGTGTTTATCCTACAGAGCCACCAGCCTCCATCCAGAAGAGCACTGTTGTTGTGAAATGCCACCGAGTCGCTTCCAACCCATAGTGACCCTGTATAGGATTTCCAAGGAGTGGTCAGTGGGTTTGAACCACCGACCTTGCAGTTCAAACTGACCTTGCAGTCTAGTGCATTATCCTGCAGCGCCACACCAGGACTTTTGAGACTCAAAAAGAAATAATTTAATCAGATGCTTTGCAGAATTATTTTATTGCAATGAACAATTTGATTTGGTGTGGTACAATGAATAGACCAAGAGGCAGGAGGCCAGCTGATTTTGTTCTTTTGGGCTCAGTCTGGTCGCCTCCTCATCATCAATAATATATTAATAATAATAGCAAACACTTTCGAACATGGCCTCACCCAGAGTCAGTGCTATCTAAGAGCTTTACATATATAAATCATTCAACATATATAATTTTCTAAAGTTTAGAATCTGTTATGAATGATACAGGTGACAGCTATTATTGCTAATAGAGATGTCTCTAGGCCTCTGCTCTCGAAGTCTCATTAGAAACCTACACAGAAAACCCACCCTGTTATGAACAGATATGCTGTAAAGTAAGTATATGGATAAAAAGCAGAATGGTTGTCTGAGACAGCCTACAGCATTAGCACCACCCTTACTACCTTTCTGTGCGTTTACTTATGCTTTGCCTTGGTTGAAATGCTCTTACTACCCCCACAACACATGCATGTGTGCTCCTTATTTCTTTGAGGACCACCTCAAATGTCATTGCTTGCCCTCTCTCCCAGATAGATTTAGTCACGTAGTCTCCCGATCATCTAGCACTCTGTGTTCCATGGTGTGCGTTACATACAAAGTCCCTTAACTATTTACTTGGTCTTCTCAGTTAGATTGAGGTTTTTGAGGACTTAAATTCTGACATAGGTCTTGTCAGTTCCCTCGGTTCCTTCAGCTGAAAGAAAATAATAGAAATTTGCCTGCAGGATTGCATCCAAGAGATCAGCACGGGACTGTGAACCACAGGGTCGCTATGAGACAGAACTGACTTGACGACACTTCACAACTGCAGTCCTATTTGATAAAACTTACAAAGGCCTCAGTCTGAAGCAGAGCACATGAGCTCCTACAGCTGGTAAAACCAAACCATTTACTTGTTAGATTTCTGTTTGACTGTATAAGAACCTGAACTTCAAGTATTGAAATGACTTTTAGCCTGTTTTAAAGGTGTGAGCCACAGGATGAAGACCAGACACGTTCTATGATGGTTATGTTCGTGCTTATCAATCTGACTTCTGCCAGCTTTAACTATCTGGAACAGTCAAGAATCCCAGAAGGAATCCAGAAAAGCCTCTGAAGTTGGAAGAAAATGGCTCTCACAAAACCTGTGTGCTTGATGGTGGAGGGGAGGAGGTGTGGGCCACTCATGCCAAAGCCTGCTTAGAGACTTTGACTGATCATAACAAAAGCAAAGCACACTGCTTAGCAAGTTTGGATTTTGTCTTGGGTTGCAATAGAAAAAAAAAAAGATTAAGCAAACTCTCCCACCCATCTTGCCAAACCAAACAAAACAAAACCTATTGCCCTGGAGTCGATTCTGACTCATAGTGACCCTTTAGGACAAAGTAGACCTCTGCCCCTTACAGTTCCCAAGGCTGTCAATCTTTACGGAAGCAGATTGCCACATCTTTCTCTGGTGGAGGACCTGGAGGGTTGTAGGTACTGACTTTTTGGAACTACAGCCCAACACTTTAAACCAGGACGCGACCAGGACTCCTCCTCCATATGTTGCCAGTAGGCACTAAATAAAAATTGTTGAAGTGACTGGAATAGTGATCCTCGAGTTTTTCTCCATAAACCATGGAAACTTATTTTGTTTGATCTTTTTAATGGCTTAAGAATTGTGGTGGACTCACGGAAAAATCCGTTGTGGCAATGCTTAATATAGTATACTTTTTAAAAAAATGTTAAGTGTCGTGGAGTTGATTTTGGCTCCTAGTGACTCTATAGGGTTTCCGAGGCTGTAAAATCTCTGTGGGAGCAGAAAGCCTCAGCATTCTCTCCTGAAGTGGCAGGTGGGCTTGAACCGCCAACCTTGTGGTTCATAGTCCAGTACTTATCATATGGAGCCACCATACACACACCTTTTTTTAATTGGAGGTTTACAAATAATGATGTCACTTTGAGCTTGCCTCTTTTCCTTTATTCAGGTAATTCTTCAATTCGTCACAGATCCAAATCTTGAATGTGAAAAAAGCTTGTATAATTTTGTTGTTGTTTTGTATAATTTGGTAATAGCTATAGGAATAAGCCAAGAAGAAAAGCCAAAAGTCATGTTTCAATGATTTTGAAGGCCTGTTAATTGGTGGCGGGACTGTAGATTAATGAAAATGAATATAATTCCATTTTTCTGTCTCTCTTCCTCCCCTTCTAGATTGCCAAAATGCTTTGTAGTTTTTAACAGAAGTGAAGACAAGTCCAGAGTTGATTTCAACCTGTCCAAAGAGAAGCTGCAGCAAGGGGGACTCAGTGCCAATGCATCAACCAAAAAGACAACCAGAATTAGTGGAAGGAAGTCTGCCTGTGTTTGTGTTTCCCACAGAGTTAATATTTTATGCAGATGATCAGTCAACACACAAACAAGTGTTGACTCTCTATAATCCTTATGAGTTTGCTTTGAAGTTCAAAGGTGAGTTTCCTAGGTCTCTTTGAAGGGTTTCAACTAACTAATTTTAGACTTGGAGAAACTAATTTTGTTAAAGACACTAATGGCCACTGTGACTTTTTCTTTCAGTTTTGTGTACTACTCCAAATAAGTATGTTGTCGCTGATGCTGCAGGTGCAGTAAAGCCTCAGTGTTGTGTGGATATGTAAGTCAAAAATCACTTCCTGGTAACATGTTGTAAGTGTGTTAATATTTCTGTTTTTAACTTGAACAAGAGCTTTCTTGAAGCTGCTTCCACAGAGGCATTGATAATATGTGAGGTTCTTGCTGAAAATTTCAGTCTGTCAAAATGCTTTTTAAGATGTTCCTAAGAGATTCTAAACAGATCAACCAAGTACTTGATCATATTTCTTGGCGGTAGTATGTGTCTAAATATTTCTGGGAACGCCTTTTCATTGTTGTGCTTCTATTCATATGAAAGTAAAGTGCTGGCTTCCTCCCCGAAAATGCTTCAGCTACTGTTATATTAATAGGGAATTTCGCTTTCTTTGGAACATCCTGTTATTACAGTGACATTTGGGAAACTAATACGACTACATTCTTAAGACCAATATAAAGTCGGAAATGATGCCGCTAATAAACCTTGAAGTTTATCTATACAGACAAGAAGCAAGTGTGGGACCATTCATCTGTAAATAGTGACCTGAACTCTTCCAGATAATTTCATCTTAAAGTGTCAGATAAAGGCTTATTTGTGCAAGCTGTTCATATTTAATTTTCACTTTAGAACTAGTGGTGACCAGATGGGTCTCTTGCCTGGCCCCTAACTGAACTTGTGAGAACAAACATCAAGTGTCTCTTCCCGTGTATCCATTTTCATGATCTCAAAGCACTAACATGATGTATCTTTGAGAATGTGTTTTTGCACATTTCTTTTAAAAGTTGATTTTTATTGCAGTGAAAATTTACCTCAAAAACAACATGCCATCTCAGTGAACATTTCTTTCGATTTTCATTAAGTATACAATAAGCAAGGGCTATTTCCAAAAAGAAAAAAATGCATAGACTCTTTCCACATAAATGTGTTACCTTACAGTGTGTGATTATGCAGTAAGCAAGGTAAACATGGGCTTGCCTGTGCTTACTTATTAACATCCAAGATGTTGCTTCTAGGTCTGGCTAGCATCAATCTCTTATCCCAACCCCACAGCCCCTTCCTAAAGAATTAAAGCTTTTTTAAAAAGTTAATATCTCTGATCGGCATTCAATACCCAGTAAACAAGGTAACCACGTGCTTACTTGTACTTATTTTTCTGTACTGAGCAGATTAGTAAGTAAACACAAGTAAGCCCGTGCATACCTTACTTATTGGATAATCTGCCCTTGCCTTTGACCCACTTGTTTTGTGTCCTCTAGTACAAACAAAGTAAAACACATTGTGATAACAAAAGAAATTGTGATAACGCAAATAAAAGTTCTATTGCTTCATACTTGTTCTCATCATGTTGAGATTAGCTTCTTATCCAATTGCTTATTTCTACCTGTTACATAGGATGCAGTTTTACGTCTAGGGTGAGGTTTGTTGTTGTTAAGTGCCATCGAGTCAATTAACTCATAGCAACACTAGATAGGGTTTCCAAGGAGCGGTTAGTGGGTTTGAACCACCAACCTTGTGGTAAGCAGTCCAGTTATTCCTTGAAACATAATTGACAGTAGAAATCTATGTATCTTTTGTGGGGAAGGAACCATTTCATTATGCAGTTTTTTCCTGCTATCTGAAATTAGAGCATTTCCATGAAACCTTTCATAAGCTGAAATGGCATAAGCAAAGAAGCAATGACCATTTATTTATATGGGAAACCTTTTTGAACATTCCCAAACGCCAAGATACACCATACCAAATGACGTACGGACCCTACAATCCCACTAACAGATACTGTTCCCAGACACGGTTCAGAGCTACAGCGGCTGGATGCTGAGGTGCTGAGTGTAGTTTCCGGGGAAGGAGTTTGGTGACACCACTCTCGTCATTTGGGGTTCTTGCTACTTCTTTAAGGGCTCCCTGAAAAACAAATGCTGAAAGCTAGTTGCACTTTTTCAGAAAAGCGAACATTCTCTTTGGATTTCTTTCTGTCTGCAAAAATAAATACTCATATTGGTAGGTCTTTTGTAAAAGGAAAGTGGCGTAAAGTGAATGTTTAAAAAGTGGGGCATACCTTTATTTCTATTCAGTCGATATTGCTGCACACTGATGCCTGGGGGAAAATGTCCTTACTAAAGAGAATTTTTTCAAAACTGTTTCATTTTAAGAACTTTATTATTTGTTGTGCTTCCATGAAATGTTTCAGAACTACTCATTTTGAGGGTAGCTTATACTAAGTTCTTTTTTTTTTTTTAATCATTAGTAAATTTCTGCTGTTTGAGTATTTGGTTGCCAATTAATATTATTTAACTATTAAAATCTCTTGCACTCTGAATGACAGGCTCTCAGAACCCTAAACTGCATTTATTATTTTTATGATGTTTCCAGTGTGGTTCGTCATCGAGATGTCCGCTCCTGTCACTATGGTGTAATAGACAAATTCCGGCTCCAAGTTTCCGAGCAGAGTCAGAGGAAGGCTTTAGGAAGAAAGGAGGTGGTGGCTACTCTTCTTCCATCTGCAAAAGAACAACAAAAGGAAGAAGAGGAAAAAAGGATAAAGGAACATTTAACAGAAACTGTATTCTTTGAGCAGTCGTCTCAACCAGGTAGTTTGGGGTTGTTTTGAAAGTCTTAACATGTTTCTGAACTCCAGACCTGAAGGGTTTCCCACTCATCTCCATCAGACCATTAAGCCTGGTCTTTTTCAATGATTTTGGGGTTTGTTTCACATGTCTTCCCACTCTATTCAGAAGCTTCTAATGTGATCCCTTTCAAAGCAGTTGCTAATGGTAGCCAGGCACCATATCAATAGAAATGAAAAATAAATTAAAAATCAAGGAGCTAAGAATAATCACGAGGAAAATAACCTGCTACTTTCAACCTGGGGTGGCGCTGTGGGTTCATGCGCCAGACTGCAAAGCTGTTTGAACTGCAAGGTCGGCGATTCAAGCTCACCAGTGGCTCCTTGGAAACCCTATACAGGGCTGCTATGGGTCGGAATCGACTCGATGACACTTGACAACAACAACAAATTTAAACCTAGTCAACTTTTTCAAAACTGTACTGAGAGGTCAGGAGCCTGAAATAAAGCAAGTGGTTATACTGTAAGAGCAGGGGACTGCCCATCACTGCACAACTGTGAGGAGAGGACACATCTCACCACTGTCTTTTTTATGATTTAAGGTTTTTATTGTGAATTGAGTGAAAGTTTA